TAAGTTGAGTATTTTATTAGACAGCTACTTTTTACTTTTACTTAAGTAGTGCTATCTTAATAGTAGTAATATTTTGGCTACTCCACCCACCTCTGGTATTTTTTTTTACATTTTTTCGTGTGAGCTGCAGTAATGTGTATCAATGTCTGCTTTAAATAGAAATCGTTATTATGAAAATGCATTAATTTTGAACCATGCAACTGTCACTGCTGGATTATTTGGAAAGAATTCCTTACTGGGAAAAAAAGTGTCATTTACATAAGAATGAACCATCTCTGCAGGATCAGACACGTTTCTCCTCTTTCATCCAGGAGAACCGCTCCTGTCAGACAACAATGGACTTCCTGCCATCAGGTGATGTCTTAGGAGTCCAAACACGAAATCCACAATGGCCACAAACATTGAGACTGGCATGTGGAGTATAAACACAAGCAACAATCGTTCATCTGTGTTCTGCCGATTCTCAGACTGGGACCAAGACGCTGATAAAATCAATATGTTCATGAGTATGAGTAAACAAAGTCAGAAATTTCAGAGATTCAAGTGGCAAACATACTTTCATTTATTTATGAAGTATTACCTTATGTAATTAAGTATTTGACCCACTTTTGTTTATTATTGTATTTCTCACTTTCTCTGTGTTTGATTGGAATGGTTTCCATTATCCAGATGTTTTATAGTATCTTGTCCACACTACAAAAACACAAAATCTTACCGAGTTCCAAGTTGCTACGTAATGGCCCACTGCCCATTGATTGTGAAATACGGGCTACTGGATTTACAATACCAGTGCAAATATTACTAAGTATAAAGGAATTAACGACTCAAAATAAGCTCCTGTGTTTTGTCGAAAAGTTCCTTGTAAGTTAGTTTTGCCTCATTTTAAGTGTATTAAGATACTTGCACTAGAAACTAGTCTAAAATACTTGGTAAGATTGAGTTTTTGTAGTGCATGAAAGTGCTCTGTTTTGTTTCTTTGTTTTTTTCAGCAGGATCGCGATTTGAAGTATCGGTGTAGCAGATTAAAAGCTTCCAAAAGCTGAACTACACAGGGTTTTTTTTCCCTTTAATTTCTGAAGTCATCTATTAGAGTTTTTATTTATGTAACAGCATGGTGATTACAGTTATTCTCTTGGATTTGAAAACTGCTATGCTCAGATATGTACAATAAAACTTTGATGCTTTCTGCTCCTTTAAAAACCAGATATTTAATTTATCATCACTATGTGTTAGAAGCCACCTCACTTCATAAACTTGAGATGTGATGACTTATTTTGTTTCATGTGGAAAACTAAGAAATCTAAGTATATTTTCTGTTAATTAGTAAGTAATAATCAAATGAAAATTGAACCTTGTCACTTTGATCGGCGGAGGCTAAGAGTTTAAAAAGGAGGTATGATACAATGCATGTTACATTTGCACCCACACCGAAAACACAGAGACAAAGAAGCTGGATTTTCTACCTGGAGCAATTTCACCACTCGTACCAAGTAAAGGGTTAATCAAAACAAAACAAGAAATAAAACATTTACACAAACCTAATACAAAAACAATAAATGGTACCAATAAATATTTACAAGCATGCAAATCATTACAACTAAGCTAATCTACGGTCAGTCAAAGCATAAATTTAACTTAATATAAAATTAATATAAATACTCAGAGCATTACGCCTCCTAATTGACATGGTATGCTCCAGGAGCTTTTCAGCAGTGCCTGGAGCATCTGTCTCCCTTTGCTGCTCCACCCTGCTGAGGAGACGCACTGGGAAAGATAAGCTCTCAAACAATTAGCAAGCTCAAATTAAACCCATAGAAGTTATCAGAAACAAACTTACATTTTCCCCCACATTCTCCCTGTACAGGAAAGATGGCCAGTCTCCCTACCTGAAAGAATGTCTGACTAAATCCCACAATGCAACTGAAATAAAGAACTGAAACAGGAAGCATTTGGTCTGTAAATAAACTAAACATAACATAACATCAATACTCTTTTATTAGTGATGAACCCCTGGTCTCCATCACAGACTTACAAGTGGAAAGTAATTCTAGGGACTTCAACTGATTTGATGTTCTATTTTTGAGCAGGTGTTAGAAAAGTGTTAATTTGCTGGAATGAAGCACATCTCCAGCAGTAAAGGTTGGTTATTATGTAACATGTTCTTGCTGCTGGCTTTTCTTTATGGAGTTATAAACAGAACAGAAGCGGATAATAGAGGTCGATGCTGTAACCTTAGCTATAAACATACAATGACATTAGGATGTTTTACATCTTTCTGGACTTTTAACTCTCATCCACCCCTTGTTCTGTCTTTAGTTTACATTGTAAATATTTGAGTATATTTTGGAGCCTATTTTGATAAGACTGGCTTTAGACTGGAGTCCATGGCTTTGCTGACTCGACTAAAAGTAGATTGAAGGAAAAATCAGTTGCCATGTTTTTTCTGTTTCTGCATCTGAACAAATGGCAGCAGGATTCTCACCATGTAGTGTTGTCTGGTTTCCATTTCTGCCAAAAGCTGCTTTTATTTTGAATGTTAGTAGAATGCAACACACATTATTCTGTGGATATTTTTTGTCTAATAAATAAAATGTTTTATAGCACACAAAAAAATAGTCTATGGCTTTTATTTATTAATCCCAAATGTATCAGCAAAGCAAGATGAATCAGGTGTTATCTGAATGAGGAAGCATATAGTTAACTTGCTGGAGGATGTTAACTTGGAAGTTTGTCAGGACAAAAGAAAAGAAACATTAATATATGTGTAGCAAAGACCTGTATCGAAACTACTGTAGCAAAAGGAGCAGCACATTGGCTGTGTGGTCTTTTCCTCCAAGTCCCTTGCAAACACTGAGGCCCACTGTGTATTATTAAAATACACGGATGTGACTCTGGATTTCTCACATCTGGGGGGTAAAACTCTGCAGTTTCCTGGAGCTCTTATCAGGAGGACCTGATACGAGTTCCCCCTGATCAGGTCCCACTGCTGCGGGTTCAAAGTCCCAGGAGCCCCTTGAGTCTTTCATTAGACCCTGGTTCCATCTATGAGACCAAAGCAGGGTCCTCTACATCCTGGTTTGCACATCCATCAACCCACCCAATGTCCAGCCGGCCAGCCTGATGCTTTGACAGCAGCTGATTGACTCCAGACTGGGATGCTGGAGCTAATCAGTCCCTGGTTCCATCCATTCACCTCCAAGCCCTTGGTCTCCAGGTTTCACCTGCATATGAGCCCTACACCAGCCTCTTATCATTGACTCAAGACCCCTTGTTAACCACCTCCAGAACCAGGCACGTCATACCAACAAGCTTACCCATACTTAAGTATCCCTTCTAAACCAAGCAGGGTGGGAGGCAAAGAGACCCTGGAGGAAGGGAGGCTGGTCCCTAATCAAGAACTGTGCCAGGAATGGTTGCCCGCTGAACTGTTCAACATGACCTCTTTGGACTGGTTCAAATTGAGTCCTTGTCTCCAAAGCAGAGGTGGGTCTTTTTAACTTTGTTGAGTTCATTTGAAATGAAAAGGAAATCAGCCAGCTCCACACCTATTTCCCCCCAGACCAGGTGAAGGTACTTCACAAAACTTTTGGCCCCACTATGAAAAAAACAGGTCATTTCTCAGGTGGAGTCGTCCCACAGATGGAGCCGCTTCTCCATCCACCCAAATTCTTTGGAATCTAGGAACACCTGAGCATACCCAAAAGCTTTGTTTGTCTTGTGTTTGGCTATGTGTAAGACAGGAAAACACATGTGGTCAGTGGAGTCATCATTGACTTAGTAAAAAGCTGGCTACCTGTTGATCACAAAACCATGTGCATCTTTTGAGGCATTTTTTTAAAACTTCTTTACGGTCATGTTGGTCAATACTTATGTCCTGTGGGCTTAGATGGAGGAGATGAAATCACTAAAATAGCTGTAAAACAGCATTTTACCTGCTGGCTTTCATCCTTCTCCATTTCAGCTGAGAAGGTAAGATAGAAAAACAAAAGATGTCTGAGGTATGGAGAGTTATCAAGAAAATGAATGGTATTAAGAAGAACTTTTCTTTACCTGTTTTAGAATATAATGAGAAAATAGCTGTTAGTAATAAAGAAAAGACAGAGTTATTAGCAGAAACTTTAGTTTAAGTACATAGTTCAGAGAACTTACCTGATGTTATAAAGAGAAGCTTCTGGCTGAGAATCCAGGAGTCACTGCAAGAGAACAGTTTCAAATCAAGATCTAGATTTGCCTTTTCTATGCAAAACAGCAATGGTGGAGAAAGTACTCAAAAAAATGTACTTAAGTAAAAGTNAAACAGCTGAAACACTGAGTGCCTTTAAATCTTGACTAAAAACCCACCTGTTTAGAGTTGTATTTGAAATTACGAATTTTATGAGGCATTTGACTTAATGGAATGTTTTGATTGATGCATGACTTTGTGTTTTTGTTTGATGTAAAGCACTTTGAAATGCCTCGCTGCTGAAATGTGCTATACAAATACATTTTGATTGATCGATAGTCAGCTTCAGAACAAAAGGATTTGTTGAATTTTAAGGAGGCAAGATTCCTTTTCATAAATTATATAAAATAAACGGAGTTAAATAAATAGCTTATAAAAATGCTTGCAATTTCCTTCCTAAGATTGGTTTATTACATTTTGCTATGTAATTTACTTTAAAACAAGAAAAAGAAGAAACCTTTAAGTAAAAAATGTACTGTTTTCAATATTATAATAGCCTTCTGCTCAAGTCTTTATTGCAGTATGTTTTTATTACATTTTTAGTGTAACCTCATTTAGAAAATTGACACCCAAGTCTATTTCTTTTATTAAATGTATGAAAGAAAAACTCAAAGATGCATACTTTCATAAGATTTTTATGACAAACTTACCCACATATTGAGTACATTTAATGTTCAAGTACAATTAGGAAAACTATTGGAATTTGATTTCCAGGTCTAGATAAGTAAGAGAGAGGACATTTTCTCCAGCCTTAATGTTCTATCCAATTGTCTAAAAGTTGTATTCATCCTTTCAACTGTCTGCCATCTAGCATATCGAACTAATTGGGGTTTCATGTGCAGGACATTTCCTCTGAGGATGGAGAGCACCTCCATACCCTGTGTCAGACCATCATTGAGGAAGGCCCGCTGGTGTTCATTCCCCTGGCTGAGGAGAACAAAAATAAGAAGTATCAGGAGGAGGTGCCGCTCTACGTGAAGAAGTGGAGCGCTTTCAAGGAGCTCGTCATCGTGCTGCGAGCCAACCTGCAAGAGATCGTTGACAGGTTTGAAGTGCTAAAGTCGTGACGGTACAAAGAGAATTAATTCTGAAAGCACAAGCTGAGGCCTTGATCTTTTTTTAACAGGTATTGATAATGTTAATATATTTAAAGAATTTATGTAATAAGTGAGTTCAAACATTAAAAACTTTTTTCCTAGTTAGTTGGGTTTAAAGTCATTATAAGGCTGTATAAATTGTGTAAAAATGAAATGTATTGACCCAACGTTTAGGCCTGTCACAGTGACGCATATAGCTGGACAATAAATGATCCATGAAATTATTGTGAAAAATGATATTGTGATTTGAGACTATTTTTAACTAATACAATAATAAAGGCATAGTAATGCAAGAACATCCTGTCGGAGATCAAAAACCTTAATTTTTAGAGACCATCTAACTCTGGAACTGGCAAACATTTGAAATATTCAAAATAAACAAAACACAATAATTAAAATGGATTATAAAATCTCTGTGACCAAAATTAGTTTAAAAAATGTTAATCATTCAGCTTAGACAGGGGAAACTGGCAAAAGTGACAGGTAGTATAAACTATCTGCTTCCTACTGAGTGTCAAATGTTTGGAACATTTTTCAAAATAGCGGCTTTTCAACGATATTGAAGACGAGAATCTTTCTAACGATTGTTACTCAAGCTCATTTTAATTTATCATGTGATTAATTGGTTTATTGCTTATCATTACAATCTTTCCAGTGGTGTCCCTTATGGAAAGTAAACTGACAAAAACCCTTTTCTCCTCCAATTTTGACTTTCTTCTTTCCGGGATTCTTCTCCACAGATGGACTGATGGGAAGGGTCCACTGGCTGTAGAGTTCTCCAGTTCGGAGGTGAAGAGTCTGGTCCGAGCTCTGTTTCAGAACACTGAGAGGAGAGCTGTGGCTTTAACCAAGATCAAATAGACTATTGGACAAACAACAAAAGCACCAGGAAGACTGTGTTGCACCTTTTTCCTGAGTGGAAAATCTGACCTTGCCTTTACTCATTGCTTCATGTAAAACCTTCACCTACATGAAAGATTAACAGATTGCTTAAGACAGGAGATGCTGCTGCAGGATGTTATTCCTGCACAAAACATCTGTACATTTCACTGCCTCAGTTGTAAAGCTTTGGTTTTTGTTTGGTAGCTTTCATATGTTCACATGATGAAATTTCCAGTTAATTAAAGCTCAGCTTTGTTTTCTTTTCAAGTTCTGTTATTTTCTGTATATATCATTTTACAAAACTTTGTTTAAAGTTTAACATCCATGAAGTGGTAAATTTCTTGCAAATGACATGAAACTGAACTCTTCTGTAATGTATTTATTATTCCTTGAAATAAACCAAAATACTTTGCTTCTTTTCAGCTTGACCTTGTTGTTTTCCTCATAAATGAGAAACAACCCAGTTTTGAACCTTGAAAGAAAATGTTTTCTCCTGCCGACTTTCCTTAATAATGTGGTCAGACAACATTTGGATGTAATCGAATACTTGAAACTCATGAGTTTGTGTTGAAGAGGAATGCTGGGATTGATTATTTTATCATGCATCTATACTCTAAATCTATTTCATATTTTCCATTGTAAGGCAGCTCTACAAATACTACTTTGCGATGTGACATCAGGATGACAATTAGGGACTTTCACACATCTGCTTCAACCCTAAGGTACACTTTCATAGGCATGTTCATTGGTTCGCAGAATTATATGCAGGTATGGTCCATCTAACTTTCTAGGAAGGAGATGGGTTCTGAGTCCCAGAGTTGAACATGTTTTGTTGGTTTATGCTGACTGAAGATGATGGTCATCCACAGTGAAGCAAATGTTGCATCATTTTGAGCTGCAAGGCTCAGATTACATTTTACAAATTTTACATTTGCATTTGCGACAGTTAAATTTTGGAGATGGGGCCTGTGGGTTCATAAAATTAAAATTGAAGTATTTGGGCATAAACACACTTAGAGCCTCACTTAACTAATATTAAAATAGATAACAGAATTAAATAAGTATATATATATATATATATATATATATATATATATATATATATATATATATATATAAATGAACTAAGCTGTTTAACAGTTGTAAAAAAGACATTCTTCAAAAAGGGTTTAAATTAGTGTTTTTATTCATGACTATGATTCCTGGCTTTGCTCGGTAGAGGGCGCTGGCGCACCGAAACTTCCCAAAGCAGCATGAAGAGATATGAGAGTCGTCAGGCGGCGCGCTACCGCCATGTCACCTAGAGAGAAACATTTAGCGCTTTTCTCTGTTTTATGCCTAGTTTTGTTAGTGTTTTATTATATACCTATCTTTTTTTACGGAACTTTAATTCTATCAGTCTGCTGTTTTGCCTTTTACTATCGCAGTGGAGAACATCTTCCCGCCAGGTTAGGCCCGAATCCTCGGGGTGGGCTACACATCCCAGCCGTGTTCCGGGGCTGGTTGCCGGGATTGAAGACGACCGGCGTGTCGTTGGCTACGCGGGGAAAACCGAAGAGGAGCATCAGCAGCTACAAAGCTGAGCACAGAGAAACAGAGGGACACTTAAGACAAAGACCTAGTGAAACCGGGATTTATCGAAGGGAAGCCTTGTCAAGCGACTCATTTCTTTTCAGCCCCCGGGATTTTCTCATGGGGAGTTATATCGGGAAACCCGAAAGTCCAACCGCCGACTCTGGGAGGCCAAGAGCCGGGAGAAACCCCCGAGACCAGCTGCGGGAAAGGCTGGCCAGACCCAACCATGCTGTCTATACCCCGAACAGGAGACTTTCATTCACTGGGTAATTAAACAAGAATATAGAGACGTGTCTACCTCCTCCTTTAGCATTTCTAACTCATTCATCCTCGAGATGAAAGTTTATTGGCGGGTTTAAATTTGCTCACTTTCACTTACATTGGATTATAGCACACAGATAAGGTTCGCACGTGCAGAAAGGTATTAATAAAAGCTTTTAAAACGTGGCCTTTTTGAAATATCAAATTGTGAACTTTTGTTGCTAACTAGGCTAGGCCAAAATACAACGTTTTTATTTACTTGAAACTACTCAAGCTTGATGGATTTGAGCCTTTTACCATTCTAATGAGTTGCATAGTAAGCCACAAAAGTAGAAACGAGAAAACATAAACCATTTTTCTAAGAAAATTTTTTTGAACTTCCAAACCCTCCTTTTTTGTTTTTGTTGAGAAGTTAGTCACAAGCAGCCTCTCATTTCTTCAAATGTTGCTCCCAAGCTGTTCCAAAAATAGATAAATCAATAATTAAGTGATATAATTAAAAGTAAACAGTGTATATCAAACTGTTAGCCCTTCGTATTACTCGGTACTCATAAAGTAGCTCTGAGTTGCAAAAAGGTTGGTGAACCCTGATCTGGAGTGATTTAAGAAGGTCATGTGATCTGATGAAGTGATGCCTGTAGACACATCGCTATGGTCTGAGGTTGCTGCAGTTGGTCATGTCAATGTTCAGCAGCAATATGAAGTCATGCTGCTTAAGATACTGAATGACCAGGTTATTCCAGCAATTTGATAGTAAATAGTTTGACATAGGTAGTCTGTATAGAATATATTATTTGAGATGAATCATTCAGGGATTTTGTGGCGTTTTTCTCTTCATGTCCTTTACAAGACATCATAGCTCATTAAGTTTGTCTTTCATGTTATTTTTTTGCATGACAAGACATTTTTATATTTTCTACAAGATAAAGTTAAAGTGAGTAGCAGCTGTCTCCAACTTATGAGAGCAAAAAGAAAATTACATGACAAAGAAATTATTTACTGTACTGTTATAAATTATGTCAATTATTCATATAATCGTGTTGTCTATGGCAGCCTGACTGAACAGCTGACGGGCGTTTTTGGACAATATTTTCCTTCCCAGAAACTTCTCGGAGCCTTGTTATCATTCTGGTCACACTTGTTGTTATCAAAGAGAAACTTTTGCTGTATATTTCTACTTGATGGAAGTGATATTTACCTCACTATGTTCCTTGCAGTGAGACGCTGGGTGCCCCGGGGAGGTTCACCGTCACCCCTCTACGTCACTACCCCCTGCAGCAGCTCGGTGTGTCCTCAGTGGGAGTTCTGCCTCCTGTCAAATGGGACGGCTTCAGAAAGAAGAACATCCTCAGTCCTCGTAACTCCCCAGCTGCCCTCAGCCCTGTCACCGTGAAGATTGCAAGACCTGACCATAGGAACCCCAGGTCTCATATCGTTTCATAATTGTCTTATGGTTATTGAACTGAAAACTCCAAACAAGTCTTCTGAAGTTTAGTTGCATGTCTGGTCTGGATTCTAGTGTGAACCATCAGAGCTGTGCCGGGCTCACCCGGGCCTCTGCGGACCCCTGCTCCAGAGAGAGCGTCCTGAGGGTGTTGAAGGAGAGCCGCAAGAGGGAAGTGGAGGACGAGGACAGGAGCTTCACAACAGAGCAGAGGAGCAAAAGAAGGTAAATATGACTGGATCAAGTTGACAGAGGATCCATTTTTCTTTAAAGACCGTTAGATTTAGAAAGTATTTAATTCTTATTTCTAAAAGATGAGAAATGTAGTTTTGTTAGAGGAGCAATCAAATCTGTAAAAATATTCATCCCATTGTATATTTCACCCTTTTATTCCTTTAACAAAGTAATCATGACCAACAAAATCTCCTTTTTTGACAAAAAATTACAAGGTAAAAACCAAGTTCCATAAAATAATGACAAATAAAAACATATAACATTAAATAAATTATTGCATAACTATTCACTCGCCTCAAGTCTGTGTAGATAGGTCTTCATTCCACTCCATGTGAATAGACTCAGCTAAAACAATGAGTTGATTATTGAAGTAATCATAAACTAATTTAGTAATTGAATAATTAACTATATATACAGAGTATACAGACTCTGAAACATGGCATTTTCTTAACAGTAATTGAGTCAAAACTGTTTTGACTTTTGAATTTAAGATGAAAAAAATTCTGTAAATATAATACCCCTCAAATTTCAGCTTCACCTGGTTCGAATTCTTAAAGAAAATTACATATAAGGCACCTTTTGCTATCCAATTATTAATTGGGTCATCAAAAAAGTATTTGCTAGATCAGCCCTACCATATTTATGCACTCAGTAGTTTTATGTTGCATTGCTCTATTTAATTGTCATTTTCTCATTAATTTTCTCTGATATTTCAAGGTTTGTTTAATAATTTGTTTTGTCAAAAAAGCCTAATTATAATGATCATGATTGGTTAAAGCACTAAAGGATTGAATACTGTTTATGCACACAGTATGACCTGGAATCTACTCATGGACAATGAATTGTTACAGCAAAGAAAACCTTTTTAGATTTTCAGCAAACAAAACTGTTTCAGTTTAATCATGTATAGAGTTATATTACTGAACTCTTATTAATTGATTATTAATTAACACTACTAGGAATGCGCGGTATAAATGGTGTACAGTAGAAGCAATAGAAATTTGACCTGTGATAGAGATCTGTAGACTACCACCTAATCGCGGTTATGCTTGTTGATGATGTAATCGACTGGCAGTAATACAGAGCAAGTGACTAAGATCGTTACACATCCCTACACCCTACATTTTCTCTAATCAGTTCTGATTCCCCTCCTCAGGCGTAATGACAGCGATGGAAGTTCTCACTCTGCTTTTGAGCCTCTGCTGCCCAACGGAACGCCATCCCAGCTGGTCCCCAAGTGAGTCAGTCAAGAATCTCCAAAGTTGGACAGACTCTGCGTAGTCTGGAATTTGATTCAAAGGGGATCTGTCATGAAAAATTCACATTTTGCATGTCTTTGTACTTCCATTTGAGTTTCAACTGCTTCTAAAAACAGACCAAGCACCTAGAAAAAAAACCCAGGCAACTTTTGGTAATAACTTGATGTTTTTTGGTGTCCAAAAAAAACAAGCAACTTCAAAATTCTCCCAATTGTTGAATCACACCGAGTCATTGCCTAGAAACCCCAGCCTAGCTCAGCCCATCACCTTGCAACCCAAGTGAAACTCCAGAACTTTTGGTCAGCTGGTTTTGCTGCTCTATGTGCTGTACAATGGCTGCTGGAACACACAAGTGTTTTATTTTTGGGTTGTCATTCAGAAACCACTTGCTGCATTCTTGTTGGTTGTGGAAGAGGCTGTACTTCTGCTTTTCAAAGATGTAGGATTGTATAATTGCATATTTCCAGCCTTTTCAAGTGCATGTGTAAACATTGAGTTGGACAGCGTGGCCAGCAGCAGCTTATTCGGATTTAAAGTGACAAGAGGCCCTGGAACAGCTTATTCTGAAAGGAGTTCAAAATAGGCTGAACTGAACAGACTAAAATCTCATTACCTAAGAATGATTTTGTGCAAACGATGCAATGAACATGATTTGCATAGTCCACACACCTATCCTAACCTGTTCAAGGAAGTTTTTGAGGTCACCTTTAAATGTATTCTGGATTTTGATAAATATGGAAAAAGGAAATATAGTATGGAAAAATACCGTTATTTATTCCCCATTCTACTGTTTAAAAGTCTCACCTTCCATCCATCAGTTCATTCATCACTCAGCAATCCATTTATCTGAGCATTGCCCATGCATCTTCCTTCCTCACTGTGGTTTTTGCAGTTCCATGTTTTTTCAGCAACCTCTGTTAATGTGGGACTAAGTGTTTGTGTCACTGTTTTTCTTTTTCTTCTCCTAGACCAGGAAGCCTAAAAAGAGGCATGACCTCAGCGATAGATGAGACCACCATGAAGAGGTCCCGCACCTCCTCCATCAGCTCCGGTACTGGGGCTCATGCTCCCAGAGGAACCCCCGGCACCAGGAGAAACGCCATCCAAAGCTCCTACAGCTCCTCAGTTGGCCTCAGCCAGGTACAGCGCTGTCATCGTAGCACAGATAAAGGGTTTTCTCTACAATTCTTTTTAAACCGTGGGGTTGGGCTTTCTTGGGTGAGTGTAGATTTGTTTTAATCACTAATATGACACAAGGAAAGTTAAAAATATTTAAATATTACATATGTTCTGGAACAGATGGTGAACATTGAGCATCCCCATTTAATGTTACCTCAGCGTCCTCCTTGGATCCCTTACTCTTCTTCTGAAAATATTTTTATGTACTCTCAGTAGGTGTATTTGCATTGTTATGCAATTTTTATGCTATTAGTTAACAATGGTCTCAATATGAGAATATTATTACTGTTTACCACAATAATTTCTGGGACAATTAATCGACAAGCAAAATTTGTTATGGTGACAAGCCTAGTTTCACTGTCCTGACATGAGAGATGATCTGTGAAAAAATGGATCTCCTCCCTGTGTTCTACAGAATTACACCTCCGGTCAGAAACAACCAATCAGAACCAGGACAGCTAGCCTTCTCAGGAAGTTTTGATTGAGTAACTTAGGGTTGTTTATTTTAATGCAACCTGCATTTGACTTGGAATGAATGTTTCCTTTTTTACTTGACATTATTTGATAAAGGCAGTGTTGTGAGATTTATTTGACTTTATGAATAATTTAGGGTGTTGAAAACATTACCAAATATTATTGATGTATTATGTATGTATTATTATGTATTAATGATGGCAGGTTTTGACTGACTACTTGCTGCATTGTGCCTGCAAGTTTTTTTTGCATGTTTTTTGTCTAAGTTGTGTGAATTTTATGGTTCCATTTTTCCAGATCATGTAGTAGTATAGCATTAGTATGCTACTGCTAAAATGAAAAATTAACAGCTAATCCATGTGATCAGTATCAACGGCAAAACATCTAATCAGAGCATCCCTAAACTGTATTAGTTGCATTTGAACAACTTTACTGTTGTTCAAATGCAACATAGCTTTGCATTAGGATTGATTTCACAGGCTTGAACTAAAAATTCTTTCAGGTACCTTTCTTTCACCTTTTCTCTCCTTCTGCTTCAGACTGTCTGTAGTTTTTCTTCACTCCTAAGAGAAGAACTGTGCACAGTAGCCAGCTTCACAGCCAGACAGGCAGGAGCCTGTGATGTTTTGGGTTTTCAAAATAAACAAAAATTTAATGTTTCATAATATTTAAATTCATTTCAAACTTTGATTATGGTTAGTACAAGTGTGCAACACATGCTATATTTGTATATCTCTCACGTGCTTTAAAAATAATATACATTTACAANAAGTACAGATACATGAAAATTGTACTTAAGTACAGTAACGAAGTACTTGTACTTCGTTACTTCCCACCACTGCAAAACAGTCAACACCAGGTAAAGATGGAGTCTGTTGTATAAAGCTTAAGCATTTAAATGATGCATCTTTTATTGCTATTTTAAAACTTTCATCTGATGTGGGAGATGGGGATTATTCATGCAGCATGGAAACAGTAGGTTGATAGGGAAATATTTATTTGCAGATGATGGAGATCTTTGGGTATAGGGACACAATCTTATGTTTTTACAGAAAAATATGCAGAATCCAATTCTGAAAATGGAAGGTTGCATTCTGAATACAATTGACATATAAAGTGTCAATTGTAATTATAATCAGATGGAAACAGTGGAACATGTCTTACTAGATGTGATAAATATTCAGAGGAACGTCATTTAAAGTCAATACTAAACGGAGAGGGAAAGGCTTTTCTATAATATTTTAGGAAATTAATCTAAATCTATTAGAAATCAATTAATCAGATTTAAAAAAATACTAGGTTATTTAATTATATTTAAAAGTATATATGTGTGTGTATGTATGTACATACATTTGCATATTTGTGTGTGTGTGTGTGTGTGGGTGTGTGTGTGGGTGTGTGTATATGTGTGTGTGAAAGAGAGAGAGACAGAGTGTGTGAATTTGCACACTCATGCACACCATTGAGGTGCGTATTTTTTTATTTGTATTTTATTTTTTATTTCTTTAATGAACATCTTCATTGAGGTGCGTATTACTAAATTCCATCTGAGTATCATTGATGACCACACTCCAGTCCAGTAGGTGGCGGTAAATACACCTTAAGTTGGTTGCCATCCGCCAATAAAACACAAAAGAAGAAGACCCTAACCCTAACAAGAAGAAGAAGAAGAAGAAGAAGAAGAAAGGGATAAGATAAAGATCCAAATCGCTCCTCCTAAAAAGGATATTAGGTAACCTTTAACTATATTCTTGCCCGCTTTAGGTGTATCTCTTTTTACTTTCTGTATTTATTTGATTACAGTAAGTGATGCTGACTGAATCGCTTGAAAATATTGTGGCTTTTGATTGTTAAACAAAACTGTTTCCCGACAGTTTTTGTAATGGGTTGCCAGAATCCACTTCACCATCATCATGAGCTATTTACT